ATATAATAATAATTTTATTGTGATATAATAATTTTACTAATTTTGCAAATTTTCTAATTCTAATACTCATTTCTCACCTTCCTTTTTGATTCTTATTTCATTCATTGTTAATATTACCTTTCTATTATCTTGTTATTTTGTCCTGCTTGGTTTTAATTCGTCGTAAAGACTTGACCAAAATCTCTAAAATTTAGCCTACAAACTTTGCCTAGCCACATTGTCCAGCACTTATCTTAAATCTGCACTTCCGTTTTTGCCAGCTTTTACATTCGTATATCATCATTTTTATTACTACGGTGACACCTGGAAACCGGGGTAGCATTCTTTTCTGTTTGTTGTCTGTCGCGACCCCAATAGTTAGATTATTAGACTAGTGTGTGTCCCGCTTGTAGGTGTGTATGTGTGTGCAACACGTCGCGTCCTATATGCATGTTTATTATACATAGTAAAGTAAAAGGATAATGCATAAAAAGGAGGTGAGGCTCTGAAGAGTCGAAGCTTCCCAGAATAGGAATATTAGTTATATATAAGTCGCAGTTGAAGATCGGTAGTGGTGATCCTGGCGATGGGGAGGAATGCTTTTATACCCCAGGGGACAAAGATCGAAAGTTCAATGAGGGTAGGGTGGTTAATGTTTGAATCAGGGACAGGGGTACTGCGTCATGGTAACGCAGTTGATCTTTGATCTATTTTTAACAAAAACCATTAATCATTGCTTAATATGTTACGCGATATGTCTTCGAAGAAACTTTTGATTTTAGAAGGCTTTTACGTCATTTCCGGAGCCATCAAATCTGGCGGAGGTGGAGGCCGATGATTTGCGAGTGGGCGAAATATTGCTGAATGCTGCAGCTGAGATGCCGCTTGCGGACGACCGTTTTGTAGTAGAGCTCATTCCGTTCGTTGCCAAGTGGGAAGCAGCAGTTGTCTTTGAAGTAATGCTTTTTTAGTTTTTACTTCATAACTTCTTTTTTACTTATTTGGGATTTTACTTAAGAAAAACTGAAAAATCTTAAGAAAAAATGCTTAAGAAAAATCTTATTTCACTTATAAGATCTCTCTTAATTCTCTTTATAATTATTTGATATTTTAAGATTTTTACTTCTTTGACACTATTTCTTTGCTGAATCGTATTTGGAATGTTCTCCTGTGATAGGAAACTTGATGAAAAACTAGAACTTGATGTTTAGCTGCAGCTTGCTGTATTACTAGAACTTGTTGTAGTAGTGCTCTCCGCATCCACACTGCGCGAAGCACTCAAATTGGCGTTTTTCCAGCTCGCATTTCCCGCATTATATCTTTTGTACTCAAAAAATATGGGAATGTGTAATAAAGTAACTGGTTTCTGATGCGGAGAGTAATGTTTGGGGG